CCTGTTATTTCCATCTTTTTAGTCTTAGGTTTGGATCTAGATGTAATAATAATGACAGAAATTTAGCTTTATACATCTGATACAGACCTTAGATTTGGGTGCATAGATTGAAAGCACCTTGTATTGAATCTACCCAGATTTAGATATAACCCTGCCTCACCAATTCTAGATTTAGATTTAGTAGGCCTAACTTTTAGAACAAATGTTACGTCTAGATCCATTAACTTAGTCATTAGATCTGTCCCAGTGCAATGCCTAGTTTAATAGTTAGTATAGGTCTAAGTATGCCTATAATATAGGTTACAATTTGTATGATGATGGACCTAGGGTCTAGAAATAAAGTTACAACTGCAACTGGACCTAAAGTCTAGTACATTAGTTGGTGTAAAACATGATTTACAATCAGCCAATACAATTACAAACCACAACATTAGGCCTATAATGTTTACTAGATCTAGATCTTGCCTGTTGCATATATTGCCAATCTTGCACACCAGTTAATATGTTACATCAATCTTGTATTTTCTTTTTGTTGAACATACACTTACTTGTACTTTGTACTCTAGGACGTGTATTTGATCTACAGATAAATGATGGAATAGTGTAATTTACTTCTGTACATCAATTTGGTCTCACTGTATTTCAGTGGGTGGCTTTTAAAAGTTATAACTGCAAGCGTAATACACACAAATAATGTAACACAGTGTCATATTTACTCAACATAGGGCAGTTGCGCTATATCCTAGGGGAGGGCATAATTATTAATTGGTATGCATTATAGGCAAGAGGAAATTTTGTGCCCCTTCACAACTGAGCCTGGGAGCGACTGCCCCCCTTTGCTACGCCACTGATCAAATAATATACAATCATTGTTTATTTTTTAAAGAAAAGGTTACATAATAAAAATACATGAAAAATCATTAACATTGTTGAAATGGTTTATCACAAGTTTCATTATATGTATTTAAAACATGTTGAAATACTTCCTTCATTAAACATTGGTGCAAAATATTGATATATTTCTAGTTAAAAACAATTTATTAGCAAGACTGATGCAACATTATCAAATAACACAATGAAAGAGGACTTTTAGAGATTCATTGTAAATACTGAGATGGGAGGGAAAATGGACACATACTTGGAATTACCACTCAATATGCAATATGTAGTCATAGTCATCTGATGAAAAACCAATTCTGCATTTATCAGAAAACAATTACGAAGAACAAGAACTCATCATCATTCCACTTAGTGAAGCAGTAGAAAAGGTGACACTCTCAATGGCCACCTACAATGATGACTGATGACTGAAGCTATAAAGTCACCTGGTCTAAAACCATGGTAACATTTGCATGTTTGAGGTCACAGCACACTTCAACTGTTACTGTGGGGTTATGAATGGCATTTGTTTCATATAACAGTCTTGTAAGGTGTGGTATACCACTGTGTGGCCTATCTGCTACAGTCTTGAGTTTCCACATATTCCCTCAAATGTTTGGAAACATCACTTTATCCTACACAGATTACTCGTGCTAAATGGCTGTCCTGAATGGCTGTGCTGTAGCAAGTGGTGATTCTCATTTAGTCAGCAATCAGTATTTGGCATCTAGACATATTACCAATAAAGAAAAGGCTCTGAAAGTGTATATTATTACACTTCATGACCATCTTTATACCCTTTGGATATTTGTTGTCTCTCACCCACTGGCTAAAATGGTTCTTTCCCATAGCTAACTTGCATCAAATCATAATGTCCTACTCTATGGATTATCTAATAATATTCCATAAGTACTACATGTTAATATATTCTATATGTATTACATGTTAATATATTTCATATGTACTACTTGTTAATGTTTTTCCCTGGTAACATAATTCCACTTTTTATCTAAATGGGCTGATTTAACACTTTTGTTGATCTCTGTACATGTTTTTTTTGCATCAAAGCCAAGTGATTTCATTAATCAGGGCATTAACAACCTGATTGTAAAATGGAAAAGCATCATCGATAAGAATGGAGACTATTTCATTTAATAAACGTTTTGTTTTCATATATATATATATATATATATAAGTTGTTTGAGTTTTTCATCTAAAAAAAAACAACATTAATTTCTTGATGACCTAATACATCCTTAAGATTTTAGTAGAATTTATTTGTATAGGAGGTGTCAATGAAATGACATAAGCATTTTGAATCTGTTCAAAGTATTAACGTTTGAAAATAAGTATAACCATATTTTAAAATATTTGAGAAAACAAAATATTTACAAATATATAACCACTTTCGCCCAAACAACTCCTAAAGCTACAATAATAATAATAGTTTTGTGTATTATTAAAAGTTTCTATGATCATTCTGCCTCACGACATCAGTGGGGTTCCCTTACTACTAGCTTCATTAATCTATATATTAGTGTTTAATGCTATAAAAATTGATATAAGAAGGTATTCGGATTTGTAGGTATATTTTAGGAACTGTATTTGAAATATAAGAAACATTACGACTCCTGGTTTTGATTTTTCAAAAGCCCATTTAACTGGATGAAGCTGATGTACAGTACAGTACAAATAACTAGGTCTGTTTATTAAAATTTATAATCTAGGTTGACTTCAGATAGGTAATACTTACGATGAAGTTGTGAATACTGCATAGAATGTGTTATCATCATCGGGAAGTTTATACACACTTTCTGTAAATGTGATAAATAAAATTAGAGTAACATCATTAAACACACCTCAGAGAATAAGATAAATTTTAATATCTATTTTAACATCCAATTTAAAAAAGAAAAAATCACTACATTTCAGTTTTTGTGCAAAACAACAATAACATACTTTGCTAAAACACTTAGTATTATCAGCTCTAGCTGGTCTGAAGCTATCTGTTTTTTCTGGTAAGTGGAAGATATATCATTAAATGCACTTTTAGTTGTGTTTCTGATTTCAAGTTTTAACTTGTGTTACGTCTCCGTTTGTTAATTGATTTTTCCGTAACTTCGTTCCAACGAAACTTTAATGACACAAGTCTTTACTTAATAAAAACTGGGAGTTATATTCGGAAAGAATAAAGTGTACTTTGGCGAATGCTCTAGTGTTTGCTAGATGGGGTAGGCGGATATATATAAGAGGGGACAATGTGACGCGGGAACGTAATGTGTGGGTAGATAGTGAGTAATTGAACTGCAGTCAGAAGTATTATTGACGTTCGTTGTTATAGCGTTTGTTTAGCGCGATTGTTGAAGTTGAGTGTATCGGTGATAGTTCTAGAAACGTTGCGTCACAGTAGTCATGTGACTCGATGACGCAACAATATTTTACAGCAAAGACTTAGATATTGTGTACATCACATGACATAAATCAATAGGTGTAGGTTAACAGTTTATTACTGTCAAAATAATAATGTTAATCTATACATAATAAAAATATCATAATCCAACACTATTATTTATTATACCAATTAAAACTTACTGGTAATACAATATAAAAAACTTCTCGCATTATAGCTAAAATAAATATTTCCGTCATAATTACAGTTATTGTGCATTATTATTATTATTGTCACTGAATATCATATCATTAAACTTTCATGCCAAATAACATTCAAAAGAAAAAATCAGTAATTTCATAGCATCAAACCCATAAAATGCCAGTTTATAAAAGAAAAAAAAGAAATTTGACTTTCTGTGTTTAATATTTGAATTTTTCATTGTCATACACATTTTTTAAAAACCTGAAATTTCTTTCAACTGAGCAGCAACTGACTGTAACTGGCTTAATCAAAAATAGATGAAATATTTTCTTAGAGATGGTGAAGTACTAGATATCTCATTGATTATGTCTTCTGTTTTAAGTTTGAGCAGAATTTCTTTTTCTGCTGCTAAAACAAATAGTAATGTCAACAGATTATCAGTCACTGTTTTTACAATTCTGAGATGCACTTGATACTCTCAAGCATGTAAGGATGCTGTAGAATAAGAACTAGTTAGGTAATGGATAGTTGAGTGACTAGACACAGTGGTTTGATAAAGCTGTTGTTGTTCCACTACCTCCCTTGGTGTGTTGTATCTTCAAGATTTTGAAACTAATTTTCAACGTTTACATCAGAAGCATCTTCAATGTGAACACGCAGAGTTTTGCTGACAGCTTCTTTTTGACAGACTCTGCATATCTCTTGAAAATCCAGAAACTCCTTTGCCACTTCCACTGTGTCGAAACCATAGTTCTGACATATACCCTGGATATCTGTTGCATCGTGACCTTTAAGAAGGTTAGTTGGAGTGACAAAATACATATTTTGCATGAAAGAAAGATTACCATCATCAAATTGGCTTTGGAGCTGCTGAATTACTTCATCAGCTACCCTTACGAAAATTTCTATTTTGAATTACTTCTCTCCCATTAATGGTTCATCCCTGGCTAGTTCACCGTCACAAATCTTCTTTCTCCTTTGCTTCTCAATAGGAACTTCTGCTGGGATATCATGAAGGGTTTCAAACTGTTTTACATTGTTGGAAATAGTGTGCCATTCATTATTTGCATGCATCTTGCTTTCAATCTTTCAGTAGAGGTGCTGCATCACCTAGATCTATTACAACTGATTGCAGAACCCGGGATGCTGGTCCTATCATTTCATATACTGCCTTCAGTATAAACATTGACAAAACTATTCAGTAGTCTTTCTGCATGAGAGAAAGCCCAACTCCACCAGTAATTGTAGCACTATCATTTGCAGTTTTCAGTTCTTGTGAGGAATTCATGATGCTCTCAAATTTTGAAAGCACTGATGCTTCATAGCTGTTCCAATGAACTGTGAATACATTTGAGTTATTGCTTGTGTATTTCCTTTTATTATAACCTTTGAAAAGCATCATTTTGCTTATAGCAACTCACGAAGACATACAACTCTTCTAGCAGACCAAATGTATTTTGCACATCTTAACAATAGCTGACTACAGAATTAAACATGAAGCAACTTGAAATTTTCGAGGAAATTTTACAAATTGCTTCGAGAGTTTTAGTATTTAAAAGTACATAGAATAAAGGCTTAAGGGTTTTAATATAAGCAAGCAAGTAAAGATAGATATAAAAGAAAAAGCGGCGACAAAAGGACGCCTGTGTTACGAAATAACCCTTGAGAATTAATAAACAAGAACTTGGTTGTGTAAGAGGCATCACTTAGAAGTAAGCAGCAAAACACGTGCAGTACTTAAAATAAGTTTAAGAGGCGAGCTTGGAAACCAGTGATCAAGGTCAGCAGCAGAGTTAGAAAGAACTGTTGATTAAAAACAGGATGTAGACACCAGTACATGTGACAGTTTGATGGAGTGCTGACCTCGCTCTCTTAGCACTAGGAAAGCTGCAGAAAAGTTTAGATTTGGTGAATCATATCGGCACTTTGAGGCAGTATTAGTTACAGCCCATGGGGGTGTAGCAGTACAAGTGAATAGGCGGCCGGCTAACACCACTTATCTATGATCAATAACTTGACAGTTTTGGTTTAGGTTCTGGTTTAGCCCGGGAATTC